GTTCCAGCCTCCAGAAGCTAAGAAGTTCTTCAGCACAGTGCGGAAGGAGATGGCACTGCTGGCTACCTCACTGCCTGATGGCATCATGGTCAAGACTTTTGAGGACAGAATGGCAAGTGGGCTGGCCGGGGGGGGGGGGCTTGGCGGGGGCCGGTACAGATGTGCTGCATGGTCACTCGGTGCCCAACAGACTGCCAGCCTTGGGTTCCTGGATCCTCAGAGCTGCCCAGCACCTGAGCAGCAGCCACTCACCTGCCCACTTTCACAGGGAGGGAACAGTTCCATCTGTGGCCTGAGCTGTTATTTCCTCTCTTTCTTTAAAAATTAGCTTAAAATTAATTATATAATTCTACGTTTGCTGTGCTTTCTGAAAAATCAGAACATTTCAGAGCTAGAGTTGTCCTTAACCAACCCTGGCCTCCTTTTCTCCCCAAATCCGAGGCCCTTTCTCAATCCCCAGAGGACCTGACATTGGACATTGGTGGATCTACTTCCAGATGATCTTTTTAAAGATAGTTTTGCATTCTTGTGTACCAGCTTTAGCACACAGTATTTCATATGATTCAGTTACACAAATAACGTGTCACTAAACGTGACACCTGTAGTTTGCTCTGCTCGATGTGGTAGTTGGTGAGACCTGGTTTGACTCAGCTGGTTCCTCTAGCTACAGAAGAGCACATTCCATTTCTTGTTCCACTGTTTGTGGCCAGGACCCAGCGTTCCTCAGTCCTGTTCAGGGCAGGCAGTGTGAGGAATAGACGGGCATGTCCTGCCTAACAGCTTACTGAACAACGCTTTCACGGCCTCAGCTTTGGCCCTGTTCTGAGACGCCAGAGAGAAGAAAGACTTGGGATCCTGCCAGCTGCTCCGACAGCGCCATGGCCAAGAGGTCCTTAATAACACTTTTGTTTCTCTTGGGTTTTGCTGAAAGTCCTTTAGAAAATTCCAGCCAGTCTCAGCTCTGCTGAGAGATAAAGGGAGCTGTGTATTTTGTTTTGTTATGGTTTTTTCCAAATCTCAGAGGCTCTCAGGATGGCACAGATCCGAACATACATGAGAGGATTTTGTTACTCCAGTTGTTACTTCACCCCTCCATCTCTTCTTGCCCTTCGCTCCCCTGTGCTGTTGCCCTGGCAGTCATTCACATTGTGGCACATGCACACACGCCCACATGCCCAGACCCCACATGCCACGGGTCAGCTCTTCGGACTTAACAACTTTGTGGTCTCCCAACACTTGCCCTGGAATTGAGATCCTCAGTGGTGCCATCCTTGTGGTGGAGATCACCCTGCCTCTGCTTGGAGTGCAGATATTTACATGTAGAGCCTCTGTTGCTAGCAGTATCTAGAGAGCCGGGCCCTGTGTGCCGACCGTACCCTCTCTCCCTCCCTCCAGGACCTCTTCTCAGCTCTAATCAAGGGCCCCACTCGAACCCCCTACGAGGACGGCCTCTACCTGTTCGACATCCAGCTCCCCAACATCTACCCAGCTGTGCCCCCCCACTTTTGCTACCTCTCCCAGTGCAGTGGCCGCCTGAACCCCAACCTGTATGACAATGGGAAGGTGTGCGTCAGCCTCCTGGGCACCTGGATCGGCAAGGTGAGTGAGGCATCAGTGCCCCAGCTGGGGTGAGGAGAAGGGTCGGTGTCTCTCGGACATACCTGACGGCCCTGTGTGTTTCAGGGGACAGAGAGGTGGACCAGTAAATCCAGCCTACTCCAGGTGCTCATCTCCATTCAAGGTACGGCTGGGCCAGGCGAGGTCACACTGGCTGGGTGTCTGTCCCCTGGAGGTGGAAGGCAGACCCGCCCTGATGGCTTCCCCCGCCGCTGACCACGGGTGTCCTCCTCGCAGGTCTGATCCTGGTGAATGAACCTTACTACAACGAAGCCGGCTTCGACAGCGACCGGGGCCTGCAGGAAGGCTATGAGAACAGTCGCTGCTACAACGAGATGGCCCTGATCCGCGTGGTGCAGTCCATGACCCAGTTGGTTCGGCGGCCCCCGGAGGTGTTTGAGCAGGAGATCCGGCAGCACTTCAGCGTAGGCGGCTGGCGGCTGGTGAACCGTATCGAGTCCTGGTTGGAAACCCACGCCCTGCTGGAGCAGGCCCAGGCGCTGCCCAACGGGGTTGCCAAGGACAGCAGTTCCCCAGAGCCACCTGCTGTGGCTGAGCTCTCAGACTCCGGTCGAGAAGAACCTGAAGATGGTGGAGTGGCCCCTGGAGAGGCCTCCCAGGGCTCAGACTCGGAGGGTGGCGCCCAGTGCCCAGCCTCAACTAGCAGGGACCACACAGATCAGACTTCAGAGACGGCGCCTGACGCATCCATACCACCCAGTGTCAAACCAAAGAAGCGGAGAAAGAGCTACCGGAGCTTCTTACCGGAGAAGAGTGGCTACCCTGACATCGGCTTTCCCCTCTTCCCTCTCTCTAAGGGTTTTATCAAGAGCATCAGGGGTGTCCTGACGCAGTTCCGGGCTGCCCTGCTAGAGGCGGGCATGCCCGAAAGCACAGAGGACAAGTAGCTACCAGCCCTCATGGAAGGAGTGTCACGGCGGGAGAGGCCAGCCGCTGCCTGCTCACTCCCTCCCTGGACCCTCCCTTCTTCCTGGACCCTCCCTTCTTCCTGGACCCTCCCTTCTTCCTGGCCCCTGCCCCCAGTTCGAGCCTCCCACTGCCCTCTTCTCCCCAAGGCAAGTTTGATTCTGAAGTGCAAGAAGTGTCCCGAGATGCTGCGTTTCTGTTCCGAAACAATCTTTCAACAGGCAGGTCCCCTGTGGCAAAGAAATCCGGAACCCAGTTGTGATTTTCTGCTTGTCACTCCAGGCAGAATGTCCCGACACTTGCTCCCTTGCTGTCCTTTTCTCAGGTCAGAGGTGGGGTGCTCTGGGGCCCTGCAGATGGGCAGGAGAATGGATGTGCCTTGCATGAAGTATGGCCTGCTCCTGCAGTGCCCCTGGTCCCTTTTAGCAGTTGGACTGTAGCCTCCCCACATCCCTGCCGCCACCACCACTGGGTCCCCAGTCCTCCAGCGTGAACACTGTCCCATGGGAACTGTAGCTGCTATTGCTGACTTCCAGCTCTGGCCTGTTTGCCATATTATAACCCTTAGACCTGTTGAACTTGCTCTCTCCAAGAAGTCAGGAGCAGGCTAGGTTCAGGGCAACACCGGGAGAGGTGGTGGCCCTCACACCAACGTGGAGTTGAGGATAGGGAGCTGCAGGGAGAAACAGCTGCAGGTGCCTCGCTTGCTTTTCTCATCCAGGGCGGGTGGGGCACTGGCAGTTCTGGCCCAGGCCATGCCTGTGGGGACTTCATAGACTTGTGCTCTCCAGCAAGGAGGCAGGGGCATGGGCCAGGCAAGCACCAGGGCCTTCCCCACCCAGCAGCTCAGCCCTCTGTGGGAGGAGAGCAAGAGTGAGGCCTTGGCAGCCCTACACTTCCACACCACGGGCTCAGTCCAGAGAGGGTGGGAGGCAGTAGCAGCAGGAGCTCACCCCTCACCCATCTCCTACCCAGAGACAGGCCCAGAGGTTTACACGTTTTCTAAGCTTTTGATAATGTGAAGCTCCAGGTTAAGAGGATGCTGTTGAGCACATTGCAGCTATGTAATTTCTGGTGTATGTATGTCATATTTAAGATTGGGAAAAAAATCTCAAAAGCAAAGATATTAACTCTTAATAGAAAAAAAGACAAAAAAAAGCCAAAGCATGATGCGTTTTGTCAGCCTTAAGCGGGCTCCACACCTGTGCTGAGCCAGGACCACCCAGGCAGCAGAGCCTCGGGAAGGACAGAGCTGGACCTCACGCCGCAGCACTCCATGGCACCCAGACTGGGTATCTAGAGACACATCCGGAGTGCCTGGGGGACTATGCTTCCCGTGCGTCGTTCATGTGGAGATGTGAATGCCTACTGCTTATGATACCTGTATAAAGTGCTGTGTGATTAAACTTTTTTTTTACTTGCATTTTTTTTTTTGGTTGGCTCATTAACAAGACAAGGTGACACCATTAAACCTGCCTCTGCCATTCAGCTGGGCTCTGTTGCCTTTCTTCCTCATGTCCCAGTGCCCCTCACATTCCCCCTCCCCAGGCAAGGCTTGTGGCAGTGGGTCTTGGATGCCCCAGGCCAAGTGTCTTTGGCATCTCCAGGCAGAATTCCCAGGGCTGGTAGGATCAGATGTCAAGTGGGTCAGTCTTCTTGCCTCTCGGCTGGGTAAAATTCCTGGCTCGTATGGTATTCTTTTTTTTTTTTTGGTACCGGGGATCGAACTCGGGTCCTTGTGCTTGCGCAGCAAGCGGCGAAACCACTGAGCTAAATCCCCGGCCCTAGTATGGTATTCTTCAAAAGCCAAGTGATCACAGTGTCCACCTCCGGACAGCTGTGGTCCCCAGCAGCCAGACTGACCCATTCAGCCCCTTCCAGATCTGGGGAGCTGACTTCAGAGTCCCTGTGGTGGGCAGATGTCACTCCTGGGCTGGATGCCCACAGGGTTGCTCAGGAAGACTGGCATCTGCTCCTCCCTTCTTTGAACCTCTGCCCAGCACTCCTTACTGTACAAGACTTCGTGATTAAGGGCAGAGGCTGATGAGTGAGCCTGGAGGAGCCCGTTTGCCCTCAAGGGAACTGCTATCTGCCATTTTGACTTCGGAAATCTGTCCCCAACTCCTTGCCAGTTTCCCTAATGCCTTTAATGCATTTTCTTTTCCTGCTCACTCCATGCTGATCTTCAGCCACACTCAGCAACTGGCTGTGTGGCCCAAGGTCAGAGACAGGAGCACAGAGCCATGGCCTTCCTACGTGTGGGTTCAGGCAGCCTGCCAGGCTCGGGGGCCTCTTCAGGCTGAAGGTGGCCTGAGCAGGAGTGCCTAAGAGGGCTGCGTGCCCACCACCAAGACACTCCAGCATGTCGTGCGATACAGGAACACCACTGGTGTCACTGACACAATTCTAGGGCTAGAACAAGACCCCATTCCCTCCCTAGGACAGGATCAGCAGGCTGGGGATATCACTTTATTTGGACTTGATTCATGGAAGAGGCCCCCCAGAACTAATGGGACTGCCTTCCGCAAGCAACTGGCCCCAGCAGTGGGGCTCTTGCCCAGGGCCCCATTTTGACCTCTGGTCCTCAGAGCATAGCCTCCACCGCCTTTCCACCCCCTTCTCTGGAAGAGTCCCCATCACCCCAACATGAGCTGTAGGCAGGCCCTTCCATCCAGGGTGGGAAGCCCTACCTCAGCCTATACCAGTAGATAAGGGACTGCAGGGCCCATGGGCTCATAAAGCCTTCTGCTGGGGCTTCTGGGTGGGTGGGGGCTCCCTGCCGCCACTAACCATCCAGAGGTAGTCAGGCTGCACCTGGCCCTGCACAGCCTCAGAGATCAACAGCTCCCCGTCCACAGCAAACACACCCCTCCCATCCTTGCACTCCAGGCGGAAGGCGACCACGGGCACGTGCACCAGGTATGGGCAGCCATACTCCATGTGCGTGCCATTCTCCATGGCCAGGAAGAGGCGCAACAGCATGGTCCTCGGTACCCCTGCACGCACGTAGAACAGATGCATAACACCAGCCGCACAGCGGCCCATGGGTGCCGTGAACATCTTGCTCGCCATGTGAGTGTGCAGCAGTGCCAGCACCAGCACAAAGTCCTGCTCGGGCACCACAGTCCAGTGAGAGGGCACTGGCTCCTCCAGGGGAACAAGGTGTGAGTCCACAGGGCCCCCCTGCAGCAGCAGAGGGGAAGTGGGTGTCTTACTCAAGACAGCACTTCCTGTGGGGAGGTAGGCCAGTTGGCCCCGGTAGGTGCGCAGGTTCACCAGGCGAAAGAAGGTGCCCACAGTGAAGCGCTTCTCCCCCAGGCACCGATACTTCTCACTCTCCACATCCACATCAGCCACCAATCCCCAGGCCAGGCTGAGCACAGAGAAGAGGCGAATCCCTGAGGCCGCGTGCAGGGACAGAAGGTTCATGGGCGATAGGAGCCTGCCGCATAGCAGCCGTGTGCAGTTGGTCAGGAGATCTTCATTGGTCACCTGCCCATAGCTGCAGGAGAAAGGTCAGATGGGACAGGGCAGCAGCCTCCAGGCATCCTCCCCTTCCTGCTCCTGGGGAGTGAGACCAGGCCAAACAATGTGTCGTCCCGTCCCCAGGCAGCTGTTCAGGAAAGTGACAAGTGGCTGGAGCCACCAACAGAGGACCCAGAAATGAGGACAGAGCTCCAGGAGAAGAGAGAATGGACACTAACTCGGCCTACAGCAACCTAGAAAAGGAAACTTGACAGTAGGGGCACAGAGATGGCACCGAGGCCCTGGGCTCTTACCCAGCATAGTGATTCAAAGAAGCGGCCAGCGCGTTCCCAGAGCCTCCTGGGAGGCTGCACAAGGGCTTCTGGATGGCGGTCTCCCAGTCCGGCCGGTCCATGAGCCCATTGACCACCTGTCGGAGCAGGAGCGGCCTCAGGCTGAGCAGCCCCACCCTGCCACCCTGCCCGCCTCAGCCAGCCTCTGGCGCAAATCTCACCTCGTGCATCAGCCCGTCCCCAGACATGATCACCAGCGCGTCCCAGCGGCCCAGCTCCTCCGCCCGCACCAGCTCGCGCGCGTGGTTCTGTCGCTCTGAGGGGAGACCTGCAGTTTTCAGGGCTGGCTCCCGCCCAGGGAAGGCACACCCCGCGCTGGGTGTGTGTGAGCGTACTCACCAGTGACCGTCAGTTTGAAGGAGACCTCCGCCTCGGCCAGAAGGGGCAGCACGAGCCTCTGGAACTGCTGCAGCGCCTTGCCCTTGCCGCCGCGCGGATTCAGCAACACCAGTACGCGGCAGGGCCGCGGGAGCGCGCCCCGGGAGCAGCCGCACGCTAGGAGAACGAACCCGAGAGGGCCGCGTCCGCAACCGGCCACCAGGAGCTCAGCGGGAGCACTGGGGCGGAAGCGTAGCGTCCGTCCGCAATACCTGGTGTAACTGACCCAATAGAGCCCGGCCCGAGGAAGCGGCGGGGTGGGGGTGCTGACACCCCCTTTCCTCGGCTCAGGCCCGGCCAGCTTTTGACCTGAGTAAAAGTGCTTCTCTTCTGAGTCTCCAGCCCCTTTTCTGGCGGTCCATCATTTTTGGAGAGGGAGAGGGGGATCCCCCGCAGCCCTTCCCAGCCAGACCCCCACAAACCTGGGTCCATAGCCTCGTCCTGTGGCTCCCGCTGCCAAGGGGTCCCCGGCGCTGTCGGGGTGCTGCCCGCGGTGACGCCGGGTCCTGCCTTCAGCTCCTTATCGGTGCCTCCCAGGAGGGCGTCAAGGGGCTCGCCCTCCCCGCCCGGAGCTGGGGCTCTGGGGGCACCCGCGTCATTCCCTTCGGCTTCCAGATCTGAGGGATGGGAGGGGACAGCGCTGGCGGCGTCCAGGGCCGCGGCTCTTGGATGTCGGGTGAGGGCCCAGCCCGATCCCAAGACCACGACCGGCGAGGTGCGCGCTGCTGAGTCGCCAGAAACCCGTGCGTCCCGGACCTGGCTTTCTGAAAGGCCGAGAGAGCCGAGGTCCAGCGCCGCCAAAGAACTGAGCCCCCACACTCCCGAGGCGAAGGGTCTCTCTGGGGACTTCGTGTTCTGGGCCCCGTCGTCTGACGAGCTTCTCACCCTGCGAGGCTGCAGGGGGAGTGGAGTACTGATTTTATTCCCAGAACTTGAGCTGACATCGCTAAGCACGAAGTTCAGAGGGACTGGGGCCACCACGCGCCTGCCAGGCTCGCGCTCCGAAGGGACACTCGCCGAGAGTGGGCAGGAAGGCTGCAGCGTGCGTGGCCCAGGTCTCTCCTGCGGGCCGCCCAAGAGCCCCCGGCCCCCGGAGGGCGGCACTACCCAGGGGGACTGACCGGTTGGCCGTTGAGACGCCCACGCCTTTCCCTACACTGACCTGGATCGGAACACAGCTTCGTAAACCCCGACGCAGCCCCACGACTGAGGGTCCACGGAAGCGCCAGCTAGCGTGGACTCCCAGGCCTCGCTGCCTCCGGCCTCCCTCAAACTTTTCGCAGCTTCTCGGCGATGCCTCGGCGCAGGGAGGGCGCTGTATCCCTTCCCCGGCTGGCCACGCCCCGCCTTCATCCGGCTCGCGGGGAAGGGCGCTTCGCTCGGCGCGACCGCAGTCTCCCACCCTCACCCCTGGTCCCTCCGCACAGTCCTCGACGCTGTCCGCGCCCGCGGCTCGGCGGGCTGAAAAAGAACCGAGGGCTGAATCCTGGGAACGGCGAGTCCCGGACACAGTATCCCAGGCGCGCGCAGGTGAGCACCCCGCACAGGAGGAGGCGCAGGCGAGCTCGCCTAGGTGCCGACTTCCGCGCCGACACTGGCCGCGCGTGGCTCTGCGCTCGCTCACGATCCAGAGCTGCACCCCGTCGTCGCGACCTCGCAGCCCCGCGCGCTGCGGGCAGCCGGGATGCAGCGCGCCCGCCCCAGCCCACCAGAAGCCAGACTCAGCCCGGCCCTCACCCCTCCTCCAGGCCGGGACGTGTCGTCCTCCCCTCGCCTTCACCCACAGGCTCCCCTCTCTTCCTCCCTCCCTCTCCCGCAGAGGATTAGTTTTCGTTTCTGGATCAGCTCAGCCCAGAGCCCGAGGCAGCGTGGAGCCCCGTCCCGGGCAGGGCTGGGCTGGCTCCGGGCTCCGAGCCCGAGTACGAGATCGCGAGAAGGAAGCTTTGTCAGCAACCTTAAAAGTTGGACCCTTTCCCCAGGGTGCCCTGTCAGGCTCACCTGGACCAGAGAAGCTGCCTGCAGAGGGCGAACAAGTCCACGCTTCCGGCCCGCTGGAGAGGAGTCTGGCAGGGTGGACGGGCCTAGGGGTTCGGGCCGGTGGTGGAGAGGCACGCGTGGAGGGCGTGGTCCTGCAGCCTCAGCCCCTCCCGCAGGCTCCGTGGGAAAAGCGGAGGCGAACGGGGAGCGAGCGCGCGTGCGTGTGTGTGTGTGTGTGTGTGTGTGTGTGTGTGTGTGTGTGTCCGCGCGCACGCGCGCTGGATTTCACGGCAGGTGACCTGAATGTGTCCACGACCAACTAGAGTTAAATCCCTGGAAGGTTATTTGCGTAGACTGCCAGGAAGAAGTTGCCAAGGCCGACTTGACCCAAGTAAGGCAAGAGTCAGAAAAAAAAACCAACCCACCCACCCCACCCCCGGGGGCCGGGGATTTAGCTCAGTGGTTCCGCCGCCTGCCTCGCAAGCTCAAGGTCCTGAGTTCGATCCCCGGTACCAAAAAAAAAACAAAACAAAAGGCTGAGACTACTGTCGGGGCCCGGGCTGCAGGGGGCTCTCGCGCCCACGCTGGTGCCCATCCGACCCCCACACACCCCTCTCATCGCTTCGTCAAGTCGAGAAGAGGGGAGTCCGGGAGCGGCGCGGAGCATGCCTCGGTGGTGTCTTCTCCTCCAGAGGGCAGGGTGGGCTGCCCTCGTCCCCCCATTGGGGGTCCCTAGGCGGGGCAGAGGGACCGAGCTGGGGCATCGCGAGCCCTGGACCGCTGGGTGCGGAGCGTCCCGAGCCCGCTCGGAGGTGACTCAGCGACGCGCTCACGAATGGAGAAACTCCCGGAAACAAAAAACCAGGGCAGGCAAAGGGAGGGGGAGGGGAACCGTCCCCGGTCCCCAGAGCCGCCAGGCGCGTCCGCAGGGTTACGGTCCCGCGTCTCCGCCGCCCCCGACCTCCCCCATCCTGCGCTGGCGGGGGAAGGGCAGCCGCAGCGCCGCGGTCACGCGCGGCGGCAACGCTAGCGGCGGCTGCGGGGGGGCTCCCCGCGGGAATCGAGGGTCAGATCTGCCCGCCTCTCTTTTCTGATCGCGTCTCTTTCCCTCTCCACTCCCGGTCCGGACTTCGGCCCGGAGAAGCCGCGAGCAGGAGGAGCTGTGCGCCCCAAGATCTCACCCTAGGAGGAGAGGGGCTTGGCTGCGGGAACCGGCCGGGACAGCCCCACCACCACCACCACTTTCTGCATCCCCGCACTCGTATGGGCCTTTCCAATTTGACCTGAAAAGCCGGTGTCGCTAAGACTGAAGAGGGGAAACTGAGGCACGGGGACAGAAAACTTTATGCCTGAGTTCGAGGCTCTGACGCTTGCCTGGGGCAGGCATCCTCTTTTCCTCTGGGGCCCCAGGCTGCAGGGCTTAAGTCGGCGGCGGGGTTGGCAGGGGCGGAGCTGACTGGAAACAGTTGGCTAAGGGAGGTGGGGCAGCCCGCTGGGCTCTTTAACCCTGGCCTGGGAGCCCCGCTGCCTTCCTGGCTCGGGAAGTCCCAGTGGGGCGGAGGCGAAGGGCAGAGCCGTCTGGCCCCTGCTGCAGCCGGCACAATGCCTTCTCTGTCCGGCCTGCAACCTCACCCCCTGGCCCCCTCACCTTCAGGGACTCTGCTCTGCCCGCCTCATTCATGTCATTCGCCTCCCCATACCCGGCTGCCTTTTCCAGAGCCCTTTCCCTTTCTCCTTGTCTAAAGAATCCTATTCTCTTTCCAAAAGCTTACCCATGTCCATCCCTGACCAAGAGTCAAGGGCAAGCCACTGCTTTGCTTTTGACACATGGGAACCCAATTCCAGAGAGGAGGGGGCTCTCTCCAAAACAGACCCATCCCCAGAGGAGCCTAGAAGCAAACCCCCAGGCTGGGAGGCCCTGCCAGAGCCTGCCGTGTATTCTAGGCCACCCTGGGTGTGACTTCCCATCCTGAGAGCTCCCTGGGGCTGCTTCTCGGTTGGCCATGCCAGGTGCTGGGGATGCTGCACACTACATGGAGGTTCAGGGGAGCACATGGGCCCAGGAGGATTCTACAGCTCCTGTGGCCTTTGCTTGTTTTTCTGTGCTGTGTTTGGGGTGACCGTAGCTCTACCCACTGGGGGCATTCTTGCAGAGGCCAGAGTCTACTGAGCCTTTAGTCTCTAGCTTCCACTGCCCCTCACCAACCTTCAGGCCTGCCAACCCTGGCTACAATTCAGGGTCATTACTTCTGGAACACTGTCTTCTTCTTCTTTTTTGTGGTACTAGGGATGGAACCCAGGACCTTCACACTGAGCTACATCCCGGCACTTTTTAAATTTTTTTATTTTGAGACATGGTCTTACTAATTGCTGATTGCTTGGGCTGGGCTCCATTTGCATTCTCCCTGCCTTAGCCTCCCAGAGTGCTGGGATTACAGGTAGGCACCACCAGCACACATAAAAGAAAGGAGAGAGAAAAGAGAAGAGCGTGTGCATATGTGCTGGAGATTTAACCCAGAGCCTTGTGAATGCTAATCACAGTTCTACCACTGAACTATATCCCCAGCCCAAGATTAGTTGTTTAGATTTGATTTAGATGTGCTCTGCATTGTTTGTTTTTTTTTTGACAGGGTCTTTGTAGTCCAGGCTGGCCTCGGATCCTCCTGCCTCAGTCTCCCATAGCTGGGATTACAGAGTTGGGCCACCACGCTCAGCTGCCTGACTGTCTGTGGACATGTTCTTTCTCAGTGTAAATGGGAAGGAAAACCAATATGTTTTTAGGACCCTAGTGTGAATCACTGTTTCGTGTTTTCATGGAAAGATGAACTGGGTGTGCATGTTTGACCCTGTGAGTTTCAGAGGAAGGAGGTGTTAGGAAGCCAGGCCTACCCTTCTGGTGTTGCTGGGGTACAGTCTGTTGGGAGGAGTTGGTTTTGTTTGCAGCCAGACTCCCACACTCTTCCAGCTACCTTGACCTTCAGATCCTGGATTCTGTCTTGGCTTATGACATCTTCAGGTTCCTGAGCAGATGGATTTGTTCCCCAGTCCTTGGAAGAAGAGTTGGGTTTTGCATTGGATGGTGTATTAGGCACCTATTTCTGTACAGATTTTTTTTTTTTGGTACCAGGGATCGAACTCAGGTCCTTGCGCTTGCGCAGCAGGTGGCGAAACCACTGAGCTAAATCCCCAGCTTTGTACAGATTTAAAGCATCACAAACACATCATCTTACATTTCTGGGGGTTTGAAGTCTACAGTGGACCTGAGAGGCTATGTAACCCGGCTTTTTCTAGCTTCTAGGGCCCCCCTGCATTACTTGGCTCAGGACCCCTTCCTTCACTTGTAAAACCCGTGTAGCATCTTCAAATCTTATCTCTGTCTGGCTTCAGCTACCAGGTGTTAAATCTCTGTCTCCATTTCATAGGGAGCCTGGGATTGCACTGGCCCCACCCAGATAACCCATCTCAATAGTAATACCCCAGCTCACCGTCCTTAATTATACCACAAAATGCCTTTTGCACTGTAAGGTAACATATCCACAGGTTCCAGGCTTATGACATGGATATCTTTCAGGGCCATTATTTTGCCGACCACAGATGGACAGAGAAATAACCTGGGAATTGTGTCCTTACTTGGCTCCAGAACCTTCTTTGCCAACTCCCTTTCCCCAGATCTACCCAAGCAAATGCAAACCAGGACCGTGCTTCCCCCCTCAATGCGCATTTGTGGAGTAGAGTTAAAAACATCCTCACTGGGATTGAGACATGATTTTGTAGACTTTGTGGTCTTTGACTCATCCAGCACAAAGAAAACTGGTTTCCATTTTTGAAAATTACCCAAGAAGGAGAAATTGGTATCTTTGCTAAACATAGTAATTACAGGACTGCAAAACCTCAACTTTCCACCTGAGAAAGGGTTGGAAGCAGACCAGCCTGTCCATTTTCGGCCTGGCAGAATTCCCACACTGCTTTGCAAGAAGGGTATGCCCCTTGGGCGTGGCCCCCTGAAATGAGGCACGCATGGAAACGTGTGGCCCGCCCAGCTCCTGTCACATGACCTGGCAGCCCAGCTGCTTCTACTCTTCTAGAAGAGTGGCAAAGCCGGACCAGGCCAACCTTACTGAAAGCCACCGCCCTCAGGAAGCGTCACTCACTGGGAGCATTCCATGGGCTCTGATGGATATCAGCTCCTGTTTGGGACCAAAGTGGGCTCTGACCTGGGCTCTGATGCACAGCCCCACATCCTATCCTTGTGAGGGGATTGCCACACACCTTTCTGCCCAGGCTGCAGCCAGGCCCACTCCACCCAACTGCCTTTCCCTCATGTGCCCACAGAAGCTGGTCTGGAGACCTCCAGAAAAGACAGGCCCAACAGCTGTGTGGGCCCAGGAGACCTGGGGACCAGGAAGCCAGACCTGGCATCTCTGAACTGGGAAGCAGGAAAGCAGAGCTGCGTTTATCTCAGCGGCCCAGCATTGATCGGGCAGCTCAGGGGATGGGTGTGTGCGACGTTTGCCAGGGGCTTTTTGTTTTCCACTTTCGCACCTCTCAAAAGCTAAACCGTGTCCTTGGGTGGTTCCCAAAGCAAACAGAGAGGCCTGGATGTGACTCCCGGCCAGGCTGTGCCTTACAGATGATGATCTGAGGCTGTGTCCACCCACCTGAGTGTGGACCCATGAGGCTTTTCGGGATGCTCCCTGTCGGCCCCCTCCACTCCCCTTTTACCCAGACAAGGAAACCAGGCAGCCTTCCTCCATTGAAGCCAGTTAGCAGGGGAGCCAGGGGACAAAGGAGGGGTGCAGGCATCCAATTTCACCAAGCTGGAAAAAGGCAGGGAGCCTGGAGCATGGCTTGCCTGCTCCTCCGCTCATTATCCACACGCCCAGAATAGAAATTCCGCTTCTCTGGAGGCTCATTTTCTGAAGGTCAAACCCTTCGGTTCTTTCCAGGCACAAGCCTGGTAATTTAAGCAATGATTATGTGGGGTGGGCTGGACAGCTGGGGCTGGGAACAGTGCTCCGGACAAGGGTTGCCTTTGCCTAACTCTGCACCTTTGTGCAGCAGGAAAGGACACTGGGCAGATCCAGTCTGACAGGAGAGCCCTTTCCAAAGGCAGAGTTCCCGTGTCCTCTCTGCTCATTGCTCTCAAGTCCTGATCACAGCATGGTGACTGGAATCTTGAAAACGAGTTAAGATGTCATTTCTCCTCCAAGGCACCATCAGATGATCCCAGCTGCCCCCTCTAACAGTCCTCACTTTGAAACAGAACTCAAGGCACTGGGGATGCGGCTCAGTGGTAGAGCACATGGATGAGACCCTGGTCCTATTCCCAGTATCACACACACACACACACACACACACACACAATTCAAAGCTGTGTGGGTAACCAAGTGAATACCTATGGTTGCTGGAGATTTGGGTTTTTCATATTTGGTATTTTAAGGCTTGCAAACTAATTCATGACAAAAAATCAATTCATGAAAAAAATAACTATAATATGTATTTAAAACAAAACCGAAGGAACCTGGAGAGTGTTCTAGAGCAGGGAGAGCTGCAGAATGATCTCTCTCTCTCCCTCTCTCTCTCTCCCTCTCTCTCTCTTCCTTCCTTCCTCCCCCTCCCACCTTCCCTCCCTCTCTGTCTCCTCCCTAAAAGTGTAGTCAGCAAGGTTCTGCACACGGGAGGCCTGGAGTACTGCTTGCAGGCTGACCTCTCCATCTGCGTCCCTCTGGCAGAGGCAAGAGCGCCCCCAGGGGAAGGCGCTGCATCTGGACTCCAAGTGCTCCTGCAGTGCACCCAGAAAGGGCACCTTCTCTCCCCCACAGACTGGAGCCCCGCCACGGGGGCACATGGTCCTCATGTAGAGTTAAAAAGACACATCAGGCTTCCTGACTCTGCGTGACCTAGAAAAGTCCATAGCATCAGAATCGCATTTGCAAACAAGCACAGACCAGTTTAGGCTGAGTTCCGGTTTTACTGTGACAGTATCCATAACTACTTGCTTCTCTGATTGAGAACTTTGAGCTCTTAAGAAGGGAAAACAGGGCCAGGGATTTAGCTCAGTGGTTCCACCGCCTGTCACACAAGCACAAGGACCTGAGTTTGATCCCTGGTACCAAAAGAAAAAAGAAGGGAAAACACTCAATAGCTGCAAAGATGATCAGTGTGGGATGGGCGTTGCCTCTTTGTAGCTGTTGGCAGGCAATGTCATTCCTGTGGGAGAGGGCACTTGAGGTCCTCACGTGTGGTTCCGTCCTCTCTGTCCACAGCCTTCAGGGGGACCAGAGCCATAAAAGCTGGGCAGAAGCTGCAAGGGCAAGCTGGTCTCTGAGGTCTCAGGGGCACTTAGTGTCCTGCAGCCCCTAGACCAGAAGCTTCCTTCCAGTTCTACAGCAGGACCTGTGTGCTGTCAGTGTTCAACAAAAGCCAGCAGGTCCACCATGAAGACAAAGGTGGAAAACTAACCCGGGTTTACCAATCAGCCCTTGGAAACCTTCAGCTGAGCCTGGTGGCACATGCCTGTAATCCTAGTACTCAGGAGGCTGAGGCAGGAGGATCACTTCATGTTTGAGGCCAGCCTGTAGTACATAGTTGAGACCCTATTTCAAAAAAAAGTAAAGATTAAAAAAAATAAGATGAAAGACTTAAAGTTCCTTTAAAAATTAAACATAGTGGGCCGGAGATTTAGCTCAGTGGCGCTACACCTGCCTTGCAAGCACAAGGTCCTGAGTTCAAGCCCTGGTACCAAAAAAAAAAAAAACCCCAAACAACATAGAGGTCAGATGCAATGGTACATGCCTATAGTCTCAGCCATTAGTCACAGGAGGCTGAGGCATAAAGATCACTTACTTTTTTTTGGTTTGGTTTGGTTTGGTTTTTCAAACTTGTGGCAATCCTTCTGCCTCAGCTTCCCAGGTGCTAGGATTAAAGGTGTGTACCACCATGGTTGGCACAAAAGTTACTTGTGCCCAGAAGTTCAAGGCCAGCCTGGGCAACATAGTGAAACCCTGTCTCTCAAAAAAAGATTTAAATATATAATTGCCTAGCTACTGCACTTCTAGGTATGTACCCAAGAGAAATGAAAACACATGTCCACTAAAAACTCGGGCACAAATGTTCATAGCAGAAGTATTTACAATCACCCAAAGTTGGAAACAGCCCACATGTTCCTCGGTGGAGGAGTGAGTAACTACAACGTGACATATTCATTCAAGGGAATGCTATTTGGCCATTGGGTTAGTTGGTTTTCTGTTCCTATAACTAATACCTGAGGTAATCAACTTATGAAAAGGAAAGATTTATTTTGGCTCACAGATTTAGAGGACTCAGTCCATGGCTGGTTGGATGGTTGGAGCATGAGAGAAGTGTGTAGTAAAGCAAAATGGCTTACCTCATGGTCAAGGAGTGAAATAGGCAGCAAGAGAAAGGGCCTGGGGTCCCACAGTACTCTCAGAGGACACACACAGTCATTGAAGACCTCCCACAAGGCCCGCCTCTTAAATGCTCCACTACTTCCCAATAGCACCAGGGACCTTTGGGGGAAACATGTCCAAATCATAGCAGTCCTAAAAAGGAATGGAGTCTGGATGCAGTACTACAATGTGGATGAGCCTCAAAAACATTACACTAAGAGGAGGATTGCTCATGCCAAAGGCCACATAGCGTATGAGTCCATTTGTATGAAATAGCGTGTCCAGAACAGGCACATCTCTAGAGACAGAAAGCAGATCGATGGCTGCCAGGGTCTGAGGGAAGCACATGGGGAATAACTGCTTAATGGCTATGGGGTTTTATTTTGGAGTGATGAAAATGTCTTAGAACCTAAATAGCTGTGGTGGTTTCACAACATCATGCTTAATGTGCTTAATCCCACTAAATTGTTACCTTATGATGGTTAATTTTATATTATATGAATTTTGCTATAATTTTTCTTTCAGTACTAGAGATTGAACCCAGGGCCTTTGCACTAAGCTACATCCCTAACACTTTTTTTTTTTTTTTGACAGGGTCTCCCTTTGTAGTTCAGGCTGAACTTGCACTTGCTTTGTAGCCTAGGCTGGCTTCAAACTCATAGTGATCCTCCTGCCTCAGCCTCCCGAGTGCTGGGATTACAGGTATGTACCACCACACCCGGCTTTTTTTTTTAAATGTGGAGATGAGGTCTTGGTAAATTGTTGAGTTGCCCATGGTGGGCTCAAACTTGAGATCCTCCTGCCTCAGCATCCAAGAGTGCTGGGATTACAGCTGTGGGACCCATGTGTGGTTTGGTTTTGTTTTGATTTTTAGTGAGGGGCTTGAAGGAACAGGCAGTGTCCCATTCAGGATCATGCTTTTGTCTCTTTGGCATTGTGTCACTTGGAGATCAGTACTCCTACTTTCTGCAGCTGCTCAGCGGCACCTCCTCTATCCTGACAACTGTTGACAGGTCACAGTCAGAACTTTGGTGGCCTTATGTGGAGGGACTTTATCTTGTTGAAAAAGTAGTATCACTTGCAGGAGACCCTAAGTCCTAATCCTTGGTTGTCATTGTTATTTTCTTCCATTTTCTTTTCTGTGTTTCCCTCAAGAGGCATGCAACGTGGGTGGAGTTTTTTTGTTTTGGTACTAGGGATCAAACTTGGGACCTTGCCCTTTCAAGGCAGGTACCGGAACCACTGAGCTAAATCCCCAGGCCACATGTGTGGAGTTTTTATTGATGTTTAACTACATACAGAAAAGTACAGAGGTCATAAACTTTTCGAATGCATGAACTAATACACGTGTGCTACTACTAATAAAGAAAAATAACACAGCCTAGAAACCTCTCATTGTGGCCCCTCCTGTCCCTCCCCAATTCCCCAAGGGCAACCACTCATATGATGTACTATTATATTTTGGGGGGAAAAGATTTAAAAATTAAGCAAAGCAAAAATCCATTAAAGATGGAAAAATTTTAAGCCCCAACCTTGTGTCAGGGATATGACTCAAGTACAGAGCTTGCCTAACATGAACCCTGGCTGGGTTCAGTTGCCAGTGCTGCCAAAACAAACCCTTTTTGGTTATGAAGGCCTTGCCCAGTGGCTGGGACACCCTCAGTGCTTAGAGGACTTCAGGTGTGTTTGGGCTTGAGCCACCCCTTAAGGGAAGCCGCTCCCTGGAGAGGATGTGGCGGGCCCCTGTGCACACGAGGAGCCGCTGGTAGCCTGTCACTTCTGTGCCACTTGGTGCTGTGGCTCCCAAATTCAGCAGCACATTAGAAGCACCTATACTGGCTCCATCATGAGAGATTGTGACATTTTTCAAAGATTCTTAGTGACGAGAGAAAAATTCTGATGTGTCCTAAATTTGATTCTGGAGAACAGAGGGAAGGAGAATTGTGGGAGGGCCTCAGTTAATAGCTACAGGCAGATCGAAAACAATAAAATACCATTGCACATTCCTGAATGTTCAGATCTTAAATCTGTTACCACCTTCTAGGCACCGCTCCAAGTCCCTGATGGACTAGCCTGTTCTCTCCTCTGTGTAATCCTGTTCTCTCATCTATAACTCAAATGAGACAGTTTAGGCTTTCCTACCCCCAATTTTTGTTATAAAAATGTTCCTAGCTCTAGGTCCAGCAGATATGTTTCCAACCACTATCTAACCCTGCTGCTGGAGATTACAAGAATTTGTTCTGAGGCCTGGTTCTTTGCTGGCTAGCATCTGGGATGACTCAGTGAGTCCTTTTATTTCCCTAAGACCACAATAGGACTCCTTCGGTCTCGGGAGCTTTGAGGGAACATCAGTGATCTAATGGATAGACAGAACCACCCGGTTAGTGTCAGGAGGACCTGACACCTGGCTCCCCAGAGGTTGGGCAAAAGGACTCACAGAGACCCCTGTATTTCCCACAGAAAACATCTTGAAGGGCGTCATTGTCCCCACGACAACGCCGCCCACCGTGTCTGGAAATGAGTCAGGCGTTGTGCAGACATGACACCTACTACAACAATCTCTCCCACTTCCTCCCAGACCTCGGCGTTGGAATGTGGGAGTGGTGACAAAGCTGGCTGCCACCCAGGCTCTGAGGAAAGGGGGCCAGTCTTGGTTCTGCAGTTCTGCCAGGCAACTCCCACCAGATTGTGCCAATACCAGGCACTCTTGTGAATTAAAAAAGCAAAATTACATCCGATTTCCCCGTTGAACAGTAATACAATTTTAGAAAGACCTTTTTCTTAATTCTAATTGGTATTTAATTATTGAGGGATTCTCTTTGCCCTTGTGTGTAAAATGAAGATAAACTTACCACCACTATGAGAACCTAGAGGCTGGCTGGAGTGTTAGCCTGAGATTTTCACGTTCCTCGCACCTCGACAGTTTTCTCATATGAATCCAGACTTCTAAGAATCTGTTTTCATGGTAGTTTTTTTCCTTTGTTTGTTTTGTTTGCATTACTAGGGATTGAAGCCAGGGCCTTTGCACTGAGCTATATCCCTAGCCCCTTTTAAAAATTTTTTTGAGGTAGGATCTCACTAAGTTGTTCAGATGGGACTGGAACTTGCAATTCTCCTGCCTCAGCCTCCCGCTGTACTGGGATTACAGATATACCCCACCATGCTTCATTCCATTGTGGTCATTTTGGAATAGCAGATAGGAAGAAGGGGATGGAGAGGAGGAAGAAATGGGCAGGTGGAAGGGGAGGAAAGCACTAGAATGCTCTGAGGTGGAGTTACCTGACTTGTGAGCTGGTACGATATGCACACTGGAACTTGTATCTTTCCGCTAGCTGTGTGAACCCTTCCTGAATAGCCACTAAAAAGAAGATTTTTTCATCCAAGAGAGGAACTATGTTTCTGAAAGCACTTGGCTCCCTAGAGGAGTGTTCAAGTTATGTTTGTTTGGGGGGGTTTTGTTTTATTTCTTTTTCTTGAGACAAGGTTTCACTATGCAGTCCAGGCTGGGCTTGAACTCACTATGTAGCCCAGGCTGGCCTCCTGGTGATCCTCCTGCCTCAGCATCCCAAGTGCTGGGATTACAGGCGTGTGCCACCCCACCTGGCTCTCAAGTTATGTTTCTAAGTAATAAACCACCCTAAAATGTAGTGGCCTGAGGAACACTTTTGTTGCCTGCTAGTGTGTGTCCTTGCTGTTAGTGAAAATGGAAATTAAGACTAAAACACGAATTTACAGAGAAAAGCTTTATTTGGAAAGGAAAAGAGAAGATAAGAAGACTCCTGATGAAGTAGCTGCAGGAGCCAAACTCTGACACTGGCTCGCCCACAAAAGAAGGAAGAGCACTGGCTGAGCTGGAGCCCGGCTGATCATTACCTCGGGCAGTTTGGTAGCTCCAGAGGAATCCACATGGCTTCCAGGGCAATTCCATTCCCATGAAGTGATCATCCCTCTGTGGTGGTTTCACTCATAGGAGGCTCTGTTTTTCCTGGGACTCAGGTGACTGCCCAGCAGGGCCATGGCAGGAGACTCAGGCCACTCCACGAGTGAGGGTCTGGAGCTGGAGGTTATACAGGCTGGTCACCACGTGCCCTTCCGAATCCTGAAAATTACGCTAGTCACTCTTGGTGTCCTCCATCTCGGAGAGGGGTGAGGTAGGCTAGGTAACTTTAAGGCTAATTAGCTTTACAGTTAAGTCCCCAATTTAAGAAAAAGAACATTCGTTCGTAAGTCAGATTCGTTCTGAGTCCCACAAAGTGAGTCTTACACACCTTTGACACAAATATACAATGTAACAGTGATAAAGCAATAATAAACGATAGGGCAAGCCTTTGCACTTGCCACTCCCCATGTTTTTTGGTACCAGGGACCGAACTCAGGACCTTGCCCTTGAGAGGCAAGCGCCGGAACCACTGAGCTAAATCCCCAGCCTTCCCATGGATTTTTTTTCCTCTCCATTTCGCTGCCTGCTGTGCAAGCGCAAGGACCCAAGTTCGATCTCCGGTACCAAAAAAAACCCCACAGCTGAGAAAGGTGGTGTGCACCTGTAATCCCAGCACTTGGGAGGCTGAGACCTGAGGATTCCTTCAAGTTCAAGGCCAGCCTTGGCTACAAAGTGAGTTCAAGGTCACCCTGAACTACAAAGTGAAACCTTGGCTTAAAAAACAAAACACAACTTAATTAATTAAAAAAATAAAAATGAAAAACAGAAATAAAAGAAAACAAACAAAAACCAACACACAAAAATACAGTAAGTCCCCGATGCTATTGTACTACTGTGCACTACTGCATTGTGCAGTAAGCACACAGCAGCACAACTGTGACAATGTCTGGCAAATATGCAAGCTACTTCTGTGATTTGTTCACATTCTACAAATGTTCGTAACGCAAGGTCCACTGGTATCTGTGAAAGTTCCTATGGTAGGGACTTACTATCTTTTAAATTTGGGCATGGTCGGGCTGGGGATTTAGCTCAGTGGTTCCGGTGCCTGACTCGCAAGCACAAGGTCCCGAGTTCGATCTCTGGTACCAATAAATAAATAAATAAATAAATAAATTTGGGCATGTTGGCACACATCTGTGATTCCACCATTCTGGGAGGCTGAGGCAGGAGATTACAAGTTTGAGCCAGCCTGGGCAACATAGTGATTTAGTCAGACCCTATCTCAAAATAAAAACATAAGAGGCCTGGGGATGTAGCTCAGTATGAAGGTCCTGGGTTCAATTCCTAGTACTGAAGGAAATAAAATAAAATACTTTGTTCTGCTGATGTTTCTTAAATGAGTAACATACCTTTATCCAAAGTTTTAAGGTAGTAAAGGATACAAAAATGAAGGTCAAGTTTTATTCTACTCTTAGTTACTAGGCATCTGTAGACCCAAGTGAAAAGTCATGGGTTCTAACAAAAAACACTTTTAAGTCTCTGTTTGGCTCAGAAGAAAACACAAATCATCCTTTTAATGAAGAACAGGCTAAGGCCCCAGGACTTTATCTCTTGTCCCTATAGTGACAAACTACCTCAGTTTATTGTCTCACAGTACGCTGTGGGTTGACTGGGCTCAGCTGGGAGTTCTGACTTGGGAGTCTCCTGTGGGTGCCATGGCGGTGGGGCGGAATGACGGTGCCAGCCGTCACTAGTCGAACAGTACCTGAGAGGAGGAGAGGATGAAAGAAAAACAAAACCTCTGAGGAAAAGAAAAAGGAGAGAGAGAGGCGGAGGAGAGACCCCTGTTCTCACTTTATTGCCCTTTATATACCTTTTCCACAACCCCCAACCCCTCCTCAGCACATAATTCGGGCGACTAATTATTTTCCAGGGAAAAGGTCAAATGTATCCTTACAACTCCGGGAATGACGTTCCCTTGCATTACAGACATTCGAACTCTTTCTATTTAACCACTCTCGTTACAAGTAACCATCCTTGCTTCTGTGCCAGCTGCATATCCAGGATTCATTATGTTCTCAAGAGACTCAGAGGTCTCTCAAGGTTATTTCAACCTTTCGCTCTCCACAGCGGAACATCTGAGGTGACTCTCTGACGTGGCCATAGTGGGTGCTGGTTGGCAGCTGAGGATCTGGCTGGGACTGTCAGTTTGAGAGTGGCCTCTCCGTGTGACATGACAGCTGATGTCCCACCAGCAATTTTGCCGAGAGATTCAGTCAGAAGGTACAAGATTTCTCATGCCTTAGACTCAGAGGTCCCAGAACATCACCTATGCCACATTCTGTTGGCCAAGCAAGTCACTAAAGTCAGCCCAAGTCCCAGGGACAGAAATTAGACTCCTGAGTCTGGTGAGGAGCAGAAAGCACATCTAGGGAAGGAGGGCTCCTGGCTGCCATCTTGGGAGATTCTTTACCTCAGGAGATGAGGACTGAGACAGCTTTAGGGAACTGGTCTGTAGCTTAAGTATAGACTCCTTCAAAAACATTTTTAGGAACCCAGTCCCATGGTGCCCAATGCCCCAGCTTCCTTGGTCTTGGTGCTGTAACTGAAATCTCCTACCCTGCATGATAGTATTTATTTTTGAGGCTTCTCTCCTTACAGGAGGCCACTGGTTTCCCATCCACCCCATTCCACTGAGGTAATAGGGATAGAATTCAGGGCCTTTGCACTTAGCTACATCCCCACCCCTTTATTTTATTTTGTTTTTTGAGACAGGGTCTCATTAAGTTGCTCAGTTGCCCAGCCTGGGCTCGAACTTGTGATCCTCCTTCCTACGGCTCCCAGAGTGCTGGGATTACAAGAACACACCACCATGCCTGGCTTCCACTTCCTTCTTACTGCAAGTGGCTGACACTTTCAGAGCTCTGGTTGTGTCCCTGGCACTGTACTAAGCAATGCACTACGGTAGCCAGTTTCAGGAAGGCTCTGTGTCTTGCTGAAATGCACATGAAGAAAAGGGTTTTTTTTTCCCCAGTAACTCCACCCACTGTGCTTGGTCAAACTTCCTTTCCCACTGGCAGCAGGCTCCCAGGAGGGCACCTCAGTCAGATTCTGCAAGTTCCCAGCCTTCTCTTGGTGTACTCACACTGTCAGATACCTCACCCTTTCCCAGCTCAGGCCAGGCCTGAGGCCCAGAACTGCAGCCGGGACGTAGTATGTCTCTCATTCGCCACTCCCTGCTCTGTGTTTTCTTCTGTGAGGTTGAGGCAGGAAGAAGAGAAATGGAAAACAGATGTGTTTCCGCAGTGCCTGGGTGATGGTGGTGACACTGCAGTTCCCTTGCTGTGGGGGGCTCTTCATCGCTGACCCAGCTTGTTCCTGGTGTCTGGGGCTGGACCAGTCTTTGTTGTGGGAGCCTGTCTTGCACACTGGTTAGCAGCATCCCTGGCCTGCACCCACTAGATCCCAGTAGCAGCTCCTGAGCTGTGACAACCAAAAATGTCTCCAGACCTTACCAAATGTCCTGGGGTGGGGGGTGGTATGAAAAACTTGCCTTTGATTGAGAACAACCTCTCTCTATACTTGGTGGGAACAAACAAGGCCCCTACAGGCCTGCTGACAAGAGACTCTCCCAAGGGCCTCTGGGTTGCATGTTCTTGCTGATTCCAGGAAGTGGCACCATGCCATATTGCTCTATAGAGGGCCCTTAAGCCTAGTCCTGGAATCCACAGCTCTCTACAGCTCCCGACCCCAACTCTGGGCACCTGTCTTCCGACAGTCTCAGCCATCAGCCCCTTGGCTGACACCCACCCTGCCAGCTTCTCTGGACACTCCCCAAACTTCAGGAGCCCCGGGCCAAATCAGCCAGTGTATGACGGAGTGGACAGCCAGCTGGGGCTCAAGGTCTTTTTCCCTGCCCTCCCATCTGCTTTACAAAGATCCCTCTGTCTCCAACCCCCACGTGCTTTCAAGAAAACCAGTAATTCCAGCACAGGGGAGGTTGAGCAGGAAGATGGGAGAGCCTGAGCTTAGCCTGGGCAACTTAGAGAATTATCAAGACTCTGTCTCAAAATAAAAAATAAAGAAAGGGCTGAGGATGTAGCTCAGTGCAAATGCCCTGTGTTCAATCCCCAGTATCACCACAACCAAAAAAAAAAAAAGGAACAAATGAACGGCCAGTCAAGTGGAAGGCCTCTCATTAAGACACCGGCTCACCCCCAAGCCCCGCTCCTTCCTTCTGGGTTGGGAGAGGAGAGTTGTGTTGATTTCTTGGTTTTTTTTTTTTTTTGGTACCGGGGATCGAACTCAGGTCCCTGCACTTGCGCAGCAGGAAGCGAAATCACTGAGCTAAATCCCCAGCCCTGTGTTGACTTCTAATACCAACTACCTGGAGTCAGGTCAAATGCCACAGGTGACAACACAGTCCTCCCCCAGGCTGTCCTCACTTGAGATGCCAGCCACAAGTTCCAGGGTCCTTCCTTTTGCCTCGTTGGCTACAATTCTGGGAGATTCCCACTGCCCAGCCCAGGTCCAGTAATTCACTAGAATGACACCGAACGCAGGAAAGTGCTGAATTCGCTTCTGTGGGGTTAGCAGAGCAAAAGGCTGCAAATCAGTAGCCGATGCAGGGGGAGATGCAGAGGACAGGGTCTGGGAGGGTCCTAAGTGCCAACTTCTACCCTCCGCAGGGACACCTCACTCATGCGTGAGCTGTTTTTGCTCGCTCGCTTGCTTGTTGTTTGGCTGGTGGTCTCCCAGTGTCTGCTT